CAAAGAGAATTAATTTTTGGCCAATTATTCTCTATTAGCCCAACCTCTTACTACAAGTTCTGTAGGACCAGATTACAGGTAGTCCTCAATTTACGACCATAATTGAGCACAACATTTCGGTTGCTAAGTGACACATTTGTTAAGTTTGTTTTGCTCCATTATATGACATTTCTTGCCACAATTGTTAACTGAATCACTGCAGTTGTGAAATTAGTAACACAGTTGTTAAGTGAACCTGACCTCCCCATTGACTTTCCTTGTCCAACAGTCACAAAAAGTGATCACATGACCCCAGGATCCTGCAACTGTCATAAATATGAGTCAGTTGCCAAGCGTTTGAACTTTGAACACGTGACCCCAGGGATGCTGCAAGGGTTATAAGCGTGAAAAAGTTCATAAATCACTTTTTTCAGTGATGATGTAACTTTGAACGGTCACTTATACCAATTGTTATAAGTCAAGGACTGTCTGTATAGGAGCTGGTGGTATGCCAATTAGCGGTACTCCTGTTTTTGAAAGCATAATAGAAACTGAAGTATGGATTAGTTTTACTGGTCTTGAAAAATGGCCTTTTCATTGGGTTCATTTCCAGACATAACTGAAAATGCTACTTTAATTTTTTGAACTCTCAATGAACATTTCAAATAAATTGCTTTTGCACAAGCCTGAATTACAATAATGGCTTCTTTTGCCATGAAAGGTGAGATGAGGCATCCTCAGCTAAGTAATCTAGCTTTGGAAAGGTGGTTTTTTTCCCCCCAACAAGAAAATTAGACAAGTTGCTTTCTCTCCAATGCCTTTTTATTAGTGCAGACATTTTCATACATGGTATTTTACTGCTGTTCTATCTGGTTCAGATTCCATTAATTGGTTTAAATCAGAATTTCATTATTATTTGCAAATGAGCGACTCAGGGGATTTTGAACAGTTAAAGCATTCAATATAAACAATTAAAATAAAACGAGTGGAGGTACTATGCGTTAAATGACAGTGCACTTATTATGTTCTCAGGCAATTGGAAGCTCTGGGGAAAGAACTGCAGCATCTGTCTCATATCAAAGAAAGTGTTGAGGACAAAGTAAGTTTATCTCACAAGCTTATTGATTCAGAATAGAGAGTCTTCTGTAAAAACCCATATTCTCATGTATATTTCCTTTCTGTGCTTCAGCTGGAGTTGAGACGGAAGCAATTTCACGTTCTTCTGAGCACCATCCATGAGCTTCAGCAAACACTGGAAAGTAAGTAATGCTGCTGCCGTACTTAAGAACATCATTCCTTCCCTTTTATATAGCTGCTTGACCCTCCAAATTTTCATTGACTCAAAGGTATTCAGAATACCTTTACTAAATGTCAAGTTCTGAATTCCACCCTCAAATTACCTTATGCTGCCTCATTCTTTACAGGTAGTCTTTAAATTGTGGCTGTAATTGAGTTCCATATTTACGATTGTAGGTCACTATGGTGGTAAAACCATGTGATCGGACCCAATTTTATGACCTTTTTTGTAGTGGTCATTAAGTAAATGCCCAATTACTTCCTGTTTCTGGCAAAAAAACAACCACCACTGCACAGTGAATAATGTGAACAACGGATTTGCTTAATGATCACAGCAACTGCTAAACAAATGTGAAACTTATTTTTAAAAAATGTTTATTTTGGATATATTTCAGATGATGAGAAACTTTCTGAAGCTGAAGAATCATCAGATGCTCCAATGGAAGCAGAGGATAAACAATAGATGTGTATAGCTCAGCAATCTGGTAGTATGTTTTCCTGAAGATGATTAATAACTAGGGTTTGAATTCATTTTGTATATTATTTCTTTGTCCAAAGTAACTATAATATGTTTCTATCTGAATGAATCCATGCTTATTTACAATAAATTCTTGAAATTACACAATAAAATAATCTAGTCTTGGATTAATGTTCTGGAATTAAGCTACCTATTATATTGATTATATGGTAGAGTATTACATTGAAACAAAAATCAGAGATAATTTACAATTCTAGTAAGTGATAGACAAGTGACCATTCTGAACCATAACTTGATACACTGAAACGTGTCTTGTATAAGAACACATTAATATTTGTTGTCTCAGATTATTAACAACAACATATGAAAACATGTTTATTCAAAATATTATGTTGTAGTCCTTAAAAGATCATCCAAAGCAGCTTAGATTAGTTTGATTCACAAAGATTTACATTATTGCATTTCTCAGAACCATTGGCTACACTGATTTTTCAGCGATACTATCCAGGAGGATAACTAGTTTTATATGTATGAAAAATACAAAGTATAATAAAATAAAATATGGGAATAAAAGGAAAGGTTAAAATGGTTGAGTCACTTAAGAGATCTGTGTTGCTTTGTTTTTCCCAAGAAAACAGTGAAGCATAGGAGCAATTTTTAGTGTCAGCTTTATGTAATAGATGCTTATCTCTGGCTTCCTTATTCAAATCTTCGTATTGTTAGGGCACTTATTTTAGCTTTTTTTGTTTTGAGAGGTACTTCCCCTGTAATGGAATATAAGGTGGGAGTTCATTAAACATCTCAAGTCAATCTTGTATATGAGTTGCAGATTTGGTATATGCAAGGAGGCAGCTCATCCTTCTAGGAGAAGTTGTCTGCCCAATCTTTTTCAATTCAAAGAAGGGAAAGAAGAGAAAACAAAGAATAATTCCTTGTCTTTGTCTCTAGTGTGATCTGCATTAAGGAACAGGGGCTTCAGCCGTTACCATTGCTACCATCACTACCACTGGTATCACCAAAATAAATTCTCTTGTGGATTGAAGGGTTTTCATTTGCAAGTCTTGAGAATCATTTGGCTGGGCTAAGTAGGATGACTAAATTGCAGCATTCTAAATATTGGTGTGTGCCATCCCAAATACAGGTCAATAATTAAGATTTCCTTCCTTATGTATTGTCAGTTCAAACTATTGTATATTATAATGGATGGACATTTGTGATGATATTCCAAGTGAGGAAGTCAAAGAGAATGTGTCATATCTTGCATAATCCAAAGGAATCTTAAATTTTTCCATAATGACTTTAATGTATTCAGTGAGTCCCAAATGCTGATTTGTGGGCATCATGAAAAGCACAGCCAGTTTGTTGATTTTGTGTTGTTTTTCATACCAAAGGAAAGGTGATGTTTCATTTGCCAAACTAATGGGTGTTATGAAATGATAAGAGACCCATTCACTGAGTTTGTCTTATAGAACAAAATGTTTTGGCCTGCCTTATTAGCTAATGAGCATGTAACACTGAAGCAAGTTCTACACAATTGCATTGAACTCACTTCAAAGGAATGTATTTAGCATCTGGATAACAAGCAGTGCAGGATTAATTGATAAGTGGATGAAAGTTGCATGGAATTACAATAGAAAGATAAAGGTTGGTGTTGCATGTTGCAATTAAATAATACATTGTCTTCATTTTCCTGCATTTTAAGTATCACTACACTTATATCTGATGGCATGCTTTTTCTTTTGGAACAAGGAGAAAAGTCTTTTCCACCCCCACCCACCCCCCATCTGCTAATTTAAGGAAGAAAATCTCAAACCAGCAGCTATCATAATAGATTGGATTGCCTTAACATGCCCAACCAATTCCTCCCCAAAATACAATAGTAGTTTACGGTAATGTTCGAACACAGCATCTGTTCAGCCTCTGAAGTTTTCCTTCAATGGGGGAAACCTTTCCCTTGTAACTGGGGAAACCTTTTCATATAGTTTCACATGCTCAGTCGATTGTGTGGATTGAATTCTGTACAGTAATCTTTTTCTGCTAAGGGCTGCATTTTTTCAAAGATAGTCCATCAGAGATAGTAGGTGAAGAGGACAAGGTTTACAATATTGTAGGGTTGTATAACTCTTTTCCTTCTGCATTTTGATCTCTGTCTGACCTTTCCTTTCTTCCACTGGTTGTTATCTCTTATCTAGCGATGGTGAAGTGGTTCTCATTTAACCACGTTACTAAGCCAACCATGTTCTCATAGTAACCACGTTACTAAGCCAAGAAGTGAACGCAGTTTTCAGATTCCAGATAATAAAGTCCTAGTATGTAGGGTTTTTTTCCCCATCCTCACTCATCACCTTATACATTTATTTACTGAAGAAGTCAAAACCGCATTTAAAGTTGTAAAGGGAGCAACTCAGTTGTAAAACTGGATGAAATATAGAAACAGCAAATAATTATAAGCAAGTATTAAACATATATATAAAGATTAGGTTAAAAATTGTGGCAAGGTGGAATATGAGGTTAAATTTGCAAGTTCTTCTATGGATATTAGTTACAAGGGAAGGCTTTAAAATACAACTGTAAAAATAGTATATCTAGGGACAAACACTTGTAGACCTTCAACAGGATCATGTCTAAATAGATTTATTATACTCTGATAAAAAAAAACCAATGTGATTTTGAATTTTCAAATACCTCGTACAAGTACTTGAATGGAATACATTCGGTTGCCAATTTGGCAGATTCCGTTTAATGTCATTGGTCCCCTGGACTATTATTTTGACCAAGAATATACTTTACTGAAGCAAATGTGGTTACAGAAGTAGCAAAGCGGAATCTGCCAAATTGGCATGCAAACAATATACTTAACTTTCTTTTTTTCCCTAGGATTTCCTGTTATCAGTCTTTGACCAATTAAACAGTTTGAGGTTGTTTGGGTAACAGACCCTCTCTGTGCCCCTGCTTCATGTCTACATTCTTTTAGGCGAGCTTGGGCTGAATTGGTGCATCTCCTTCATTGACCCAGCACTGCATGGTTCCCCCCCCCCCAAAAAAACCTTCACATTCCATTCTCCTCCCACCCCCCCATTGCAAAAATGTCAGGCGACAGGATGCGAAGTGATGCTAGCAGGATGGTTGCTGTGATAATATCGTTATTATACACTACCTTATAACTTTAATAAACAAAAATATATTTTCCATAAGTTGTGAACATTCCTTCTATATTATACAGTATGTACAAGCAAGTGAAAGATAATAAAAAAAAATAGTTTTGAGTATAAACCAGCAGAGGGCTATCACAACCAAACTTTCAACCATTCAGTAGCTGCAGTATTAAAAATTGGAAGAAGATCTCATATAGAATTTCTGATGATAATTTCACAAAAATTAAGGTTTAATTTTAAGACCTGTCACACTGCAAACGCCGTTTCTTTATTACTTCTCTCTGTTCCTGGTCAAGTCCCTGTATAAAAGAGTATACAAAAAGCTGTAAGATGTTTCTGTTGTGATAACCGTTGTGGTTTTCTAATTGGGAAAACAACTAAGTGGTCAAGTAGATCAGGGATCCCCAACACCCGGCTGCAGAAACGATCGTGAGTGACCACGCAGTTGCATTTGTACATGCAGGGGGCGGGCGAGTGGGCATGCATCATTTGTGCAAGCAGTGGGTGTATGTGCCTGCCACTTGTGCAAATGGAGCTGCACGTGCACTCACTCAACGCAGAACCATTCTCCACCCCCTCTCTCCAGTCCAGTAAGCTGGAAAGGTTGGAGATAGCCAAATTGGGTAAAGCATTCTAGAAGCAAAAATTGTGCAACCGTGTGATCGTAAATTGCCATTTTCTGTATCTTCTAAAATAGTACTGCAATAGCATTTTTTTAAAAAACACAATTGTATGTACAGTAATCAGTATAACAACAAAAAAACTCACAAAAGGATATACAATTGATTATGTGCCCTTAAGTGGGAGTCAACTCTTAGCGACCACATAGAATAATCTGGTTATTTGGGCCTCAAATGAGAACTCTACATTTATTCATTCTGCAATGTGTTTATTTTGTTGTTATACTGATTACTGTACATACAATTGTGTTTTTTAAAAAAATGCTATTGCAGTACTATTTTAGAAGATACAGAAAATGGCAATTTACGATCACACGGTTGCACAATTTTTGCTTCTAGAATGCTTTACCCAATTTGGCTATCTCCAACCTTTCCAGCTTACTGGACTGGAGAGAGGGGGTGGAGAATGGTTCTGCGTTGAGTGA